AGCTAAAAATCAAACTGAGTTTTTCAAAGTTCATCCCTTTTTTTAATTTTTTTTTTTTTTTTTTTTTTTTGCCTTTGTAGACAAAGACTGATGTTTATTTTCTGCATGTTTGTATATAAAAGCACACCGGAGGAGCTGTGAAGAAGAAGTGCCTCTTTTTTATTTAAAGCTTCTTACTGTAAGTCAGGAGAAGCAGAGACCTTTACTGTTTCACTCCCACTGAGAGATCTGCGTCTTTAACGCAGACGCTTTCCAATATTCTCATCCTGCAGACAAACGCAGCTTCCTGTTTGATTTTCATGCCAAATGATTCCCAGTATTCAGCGTTTCTGTGGAGGAAAGCCTTAAGATGAAGACTGTTTACTTTCTTGGTGTACAGAGGAATAAAAAACATTTTAAAACTCTGGTTTTGACTCAGTTTTTTTCTGTTACTCTTATTTACGGAAATGTTTTTAATCCATGCATGATGTGTAGCTTTTTCAGATACATATTTTTGCAAATCATCATCAAAAATAAACTTTTTGCATTCACAAGGGTCCAATTCATGCACTCTGATGAAATAGTTAGTCCACAACAAGCTTTACGTCTGCAGTCCAAAATCTGCTGCTGAAAACTTTTAAAAATTTCCTTTTCGGATAAAAATTGCAGGAGATTTCAGGGTAAATTTCCAGAGATAAGGCAATAATCAGGCCAGTGGTTAGAAAGTTAAGTGTAACCAAAACACAAATGCCTTTTGCTATTTTTTAATTTTAGTTTTTGGGGGAATGTTCACAGATTCAACCAAAAAAAAAAAAAATTTTTTTTTTTTTTTTTTTTTTCTGTGTTTCTGGTTTCTGTGGCAGGGAAAATAAGTATCAAACACATCCAAGTTGTCAGGAAACATGTTTCTTGCGGATTTCCTAATTTTATCCGCACATACACACAAGTCCAACTAAATTATTCCTCAAATAAGTCTCAGAAAAGGCTGAAATCAGCCACCAGTCAGAGCTAATTAACACCAGCTGCTTCAGGAACTGATTCCTCCTCTAGAAACCATCAGGCTCCAATCAGAGGTGAGAAACGTAATTAAATCTTAAATCTGCCATAATCAGATGAGCAGATACAGCTTTAAAGAGATGTGAAATAAAATAAACTTATTTGATGTTTATTGGCGGTTGGCAAATGTAAAAATCTCAACGTGCTTCCATACATTTGGCGGATGTAGTTCTGGTGTGCCGCCACTTGATGGCAGTAGCGCTCTGGAGGCGTCACTGCAGGCCTAAATGGACCCAGTCAGCCTCACTGTGTGTGTGTGGAGGGTTATTGAGGTCTTGGTGTGCCTGCTGCTGATGGGTGTGTGTGGGAGGACAGTAATAGGCTTCCTCAAAAACTAGACTATGTGCTGTCATAAAAAAAAATACAAAAATCAAACCTTCTTGGCACGCTCAGGCTGTCTGATATCCGTGGAGGGAAGCCTTCAGCCCGCTGCTGCTGCTCTGCTCCGCGGTAATGAACACAGTAATGGTGTTGGGTTTCCATCGGAGGTCTTCCTCAGAACAATGCCACACGTTTTAATTCAGGCGACCCGGAAGATCTCTGACATGTGAGGGAGTTACCTCAACATGCTTCCAGTTTGTTAGCGACTGATGCTTCATCTCAACCAACCTGCTGTTTTCACCTTTTTGTCCAGATGTGTGAAAGTAGAAGACATTTCCATCTACCTGCTCCTCTCTTATTAAAG